TTTTAGATTTTATTTATTTATTTGAGAGAGAGAGAGACACAGCGAGAGAGAGAACACAAGCAGGGGGAGTGGGAGAGGGAGAAGCAGGCTTCCCGCGGGGCAAGGAGCCCGATGTCGGGCTCGATCCCAGGACCCTGGGATCATGACCTGAGCCGAAGGCAGACGCTTAAGGACTGAGCCACCCAGGTGCCCCGGGTCATTTTTTTTTTTTTAATCAATTCAGTCACCCTGTCTTTTTTTTCACCATATGTGTTTTGATTGGAGCATTTACTTCATTTACATTTAGAGTAATTGATTGATATGTATGCTTTTTTGCTCATTGTTTTTATAGTTGTCTTTTCTTTTTATTCTTGCTCTGTTCCCTTGATGCTTTATGACTTTCTTTAGTATTATGCTTAGATTCCTTTGTCTTTATTGTGTATCTATTACACGTTTTTGGTTTGTGATTACCATGATGTTCATTTATAACTTTCTATGTATGTAGCAATGTGTATTAAGTTGGTGGTCACTTAAGTTTGAACACATTCCAAAAGCACTACATTTGTACTCCCCCTTGCATGTTTTATGTGAATGATGTCATATTTTGTTTTTATTTTGTGTATTCCTTGACTTAAGTTTTTAGATATAATTGATTTTACTACTTTTATTTTTTTTATCCTTCATACTACCTAAATAAATGATGGAACTCATATCTTTACTGTGTGTTTGCTTTTACCAGTGTGTTTGCTTTTTCTTACTTCTAGTTATGGCCTTGTGTTTTCTTCTTAAATATGTCCATTTAACATTTCTTGTATAGTTGGTTTAGTGGTGATGAACTGTTTAAAGTTTTGTTTGTTTGTGAGACTCTTTCTTTCTCCTTTAATTCTGAATAACCTTGCCAGTAGAGTGTTTTTGGTGGTAGATTTTTTTCCTTTCAGCACTTTGAATATATCATGCCATTCTCTGTTGGCTTGCAGTTTTTGCTGAAAAATTAGCTGGTAGCCTTATTGTTTTTACCTTGCACATAACTGCTTTTCTCTTGCGGCTTTGAGATGCTCTCTTTATCTTTAATTTGTGACATTTTAATAATTGTGTTTCTTGGTGTGGACCATCTTGAGTTCATCTTCTTTGGGGCTGTCTATGCCTCCTGAACCTTGATGTCTCTTTTCTTCCCCAGATTAAGGGAAGTTTTCAGGTATTATTTCTTCAAGTTAGTTTTCTGCCTTTCCCTCTTTTCCCTTTCTGGGACCCCCATTATGCAAATGTTGTTATGCTTGATGTTGTCACAAAGGTATCTTGACCTATTCTCATTTTTTTTAAAGATTTTATTTATTTATTTGACAGAGAGAAAGAGCAGGAAAGCACAAGCAGGGGAAGTGGCAGAGGGAGAGGAAGAAGCAGGCTCCTGGCCGAGCAGGGAGCCTGATGCAGGGCCTGATCCCAGGACCCTGGAATCACGACTCGAGTCGAAGGCAGATGCCTAACCGACTGAGCCACCCAGGCTCCCTAGCCTATTCTCATTTTTAAAAATTGTTTTTTCTTGCTGCTCCACATGGTTGCTTTCTATTACCCAGTCTTCCAGCTTGCTGATCCATTCTTCTGCATCCTCTAATTTGCTTATTCCCTCTATAGTATATTTTTCACTTCAGTTATTGCATTCTTTAGCCCTGATTGGTTCTTTTATATATTTTCTATCTCTTTGTTATAATTCTCACTGAGTTCATCCATGTTCTCTCAAATCCAGTGAGTGTCTTTATGACCATTACTTTGAACTCTTTTGTCAGGTAGATTGCTTATCTTTGTTTCACTTAGGTCTTTTTCTGTGATTTTTTAAATACTCTTTCTTTCAGAACATATTCTTCTGTCTCATTTTGTCTTACTCTTTGTGTTTGTTTCTGTGTATTAACTAAGTCAGCTATCTATGTCTCCTGCTCTTGGAAGTACTGGCCTTATGTGGAAGACATCTTGTGATGCCCTTTAGTGTAATCCCTCCTGGTCACCAGAATCAATATACTCCAGAGCTGTCCCTGGTGTGGGCTTCATGCACCTTCTTGTTGTGGCTGAGCCACGTTGCTGCATTTGGGCTGGGGGGTCCGGCTGGTCCTCAGCTTGGTTGTCTGCAATTTTTGTACTCTTACTTTTATAAACTATTCAGTTCTCTCCCACACTGCAAGGCTTTCTAAGGTAAGCTTTTTTGTTGAGGGGGAGAATAACCCACCTCAGGCTGTGTCACTTTGGAGTGTGGATCATTTGGAGCTGAAGACTTGGGGCCCAGCAGACAAAGGAAGAACTTTCGTATTTTTTTTTAAGATTTTATTTATTTATTTATTTGACAGAGAGAGACAGTGAGAGAGGGAACACAAGCAGATGTGGGAGAGGGAAAAGCAGGCTTCCCGCTGAGCAGAGAGCCCGATGCAGGGCTCTATCCCAAGACCCTGGGATCATGACCTGAGCTGAAGGCAGATGCTTAACGACTGAGCCACCCAGGCGTCCCTCTTACTTGTTTTTCTTCTGTTAATCTGTGTTATGTCAATTTAATTATTAGAGCAGCTGAAAAACCTAGAAGGGAAGAAGGGAAATTTTTCTGCCCTTACAGTACTTATCCAAAAATATGTTTGTTTTAAACCTGTAACTCAGATTTAACTCAGGTCATGGATTTCATTTTTTTCTTTTTAAAAATCTGTTATGGAAGTACAGTTGACATACAATGTTATATTAGTATCAGGTGTACAACGTAGTGATTCAACAATTCTATACATTATTCATTGCTCACTTTGATAAGTGTTGTCACCATTTGTCACCATACGTTATTACAGTATGATTGACTATATTCCCTATGCTGTACTTTTCATCCCTGTGACTGATTGATTTTATGTATTTTGACCATTCCCTCACCTTCCCCTCCAGCAACCACCAATTTGTTCTCTGTATTTATGAGTTTATTCCTTTCGTTTGTTCAGTTGTTTTTTTTATATTCCACATATAATGAAATCACATGGTATGTGTCTTTCTATGTGACTTATTTCACTTAACATAATGTTACCCTCTAGGTCCATCCATGTCATTGTAAATGTCAAGATTTCATTCTTTCTCATGGCTGAGTACTATTCCATTGTATATATATATACACCACATCTTCATCCATTTATATATGGATGGGCAATTGGGTTGTTTCCATATCTTGGCTATTACAAATAGTGCTGCAAAACACATAGGGGTACATATATCTTTTCTAGTTAGTGTTTTTGTTTTCTTTGGGTAAATACCCACTAGTGGAATTATTGGATTATATGGTATTTGTATTTTTAATTTTTTGAGGAATCTCCATACTGTTTTTCACAGTGGTTGCATCAATTTACATTTCCATGAACAAAACATGAGGGTTTCCTTTTCTCCACATCCTCACAAACACTTGTTATTTCTTGCCTTTTTGATATTAGTTGGGCTATATATTTCTATTTGTTTGATCTTGTAAATATAAGGATTCAAAATTTGCCACCTCAAAATGTATTTTTGGCATGTGAATTATTATAGTGTGATTATTTTTTTTTAAGATTTTATTTATTTATTTGACAGAGAGAGTGAGAGAGAGAGCATGCATGCGCACAAGCAGGGGGAGCGGCAGAGGGAGAGAGAGAGAAGCAGGCTACCCCACTGAGCAGGGAGCCCAATGCGGGGCTTGATCCCAGGACCCTGGGATTATGACCTGAGCCGAAGGCAGACGCTTAACCGACTGAGCCACCCAGGTGCCCCTGTCTGATTGTTTCTATGAAATATAAAGCTCAGGAAGAACCTTTGATCTTCCTTTTAACTGCCTAAAGGAATTTAGGTAGAAGACCTGCTCCAAGAGAGGGATGTCACCATAGGTAACTACAGTATAATACGAACTAAGTTTGATAGACAGGGAGGAATTTGGCAAGGCCTGTTTGTTTAAAGTCCTGTCATGTCCAATTGTTTCTGTATGGCCCAGCAACCATTTCTTTCACAAGGATTTACTCTTTTTCTTTTTTTTGAAGATGTTATTTATTTATTTGACAGAGAGAGGCACAGCGAGAGAGGGAACACAAGCAGGGGGAGTGGGAGAGGGAGAAGCAGGCTTCCCGCTGAGCAGGGAGCCCGATGCGGGGCTCGGTCCCAGGACTCTGGGATCATGACCTGAGCCGAAGGCAGACGCTTAACGACTGAGCCTCCCAGGCGCCCTAGGATTTACTCTTTTTCATCTCCTGTGAATTGCTTTCTTTTCCTTTGAAATTACTAACCCATACCTGTTTCTCCTTAGTCCAGAATGAAATATATACTTCATTTTGCCTGACTGTGTTTGGAAACTCTGTTTATGTGGATTCCTTGTAGGTACATAGTTTTGATTTTCGTCTGTTAATCTGTCTCATGTTAGTTTAATCCTTTGACCAGCCAGAAGAATCTTGAAGAATTTTTACTCCCCAACAGTTGTTGGGAACGGCCGGATAAATTCTAACTGGATGGACATTGCTCTCCCTAGGGCTGCTGCAGCTGTGAGGTTCTGGGACTTCTGACAAGTTGGCATAAGTTATCAGTTCTTACGACGTTAATCTACTGGGTCTTCGCCTGAAGGTATAACTGAATCAAGAGTGGTAAGCGTCCTTTTCTTTATCTAAATTTAGATTAGCAGGAAAAAATACTTGTGGAACTAGTTCTTTGGGTATACGGACTTTGGTAATACGTATTATTTGTTTTGGAAAGCAAATTAATATTCAGAGACTGAGTTTGTCTTTGATAATAATTTGTTTAGAAGAGGTTCACTGTGAGAATTTTATAAGCCAGTAGCATACAGGATAATGTCTCTTCATAAGCCAATAAAGAAATAATATAGTCTAAATTTGTGATAGATTAATCACGCTACCGTTCTAGAAAAGGAGAAGTGAAAGGAATAAAGATCAAACTTAGCTGAGGTGTACCTTTTTAGGAGTTGGTACTCAGGAGAGACTGCTTAGCCAGCTGAAAGGCGAGGCCCACCCACCAGTGAAAAAGTAAAGGTCCCTGTTGCTAGAGTGCTTTGCTAGGGATTAATGGCACTATTGTGTTGGGCAAGAGAATTTTTATCTCAAAGCTGCTGTACAACTTTCACCACTGCTTGTAGAAGATTCACTTTTACCAAGAACAGGAGCTAATTGCCACAAGGTCTTCAGAGAGCTATTTTAGATCAGCAAAATGTTGCCTCTCCAAGACCAAACACTTGAATTGTCCTCATAAATGTAGTATTTACTGTCAAAATTTCCTCCTGCCATACTTGCTTCCTTATATTATGTTTTTATTGATATGCCCCCAGTGGAGCCCCCCAGCAGCTGAGCTATTGAGTTCTTAACAGTGAGAACAGATGACAGGACAACACCCTAACACAAATTACTTCATTCTTTTTTTTTTTTTTTTAAGATTTTATTTATTTGACAGAGACACAGCGAAGAGAGGGAACACAAGCAGGGGGAGTGGGAGAGGGAGAAGCAGGCTTCCCGTGGAGCAGGGAGCCCGATGCGGGGCTCGATCCCAGGACCGCGGGATCATGACCTGAGCTGAAGGCAGACGCTTAACGACTGAGCCACCCAGGTGCCCCAAATTACTTCATTCTTATATCAAAACAACTTTATTTCTAAAAACTTTGTCTTTATCATAAACAAGTGGATTTGAAATCATATCATAACAATACACAACAATCCAATTTGTAATTTCAACTCACTCACACACTACTTAATCTTAAGGCCCTAATGCCCTGTACAAAGCTAAGTTCACAAAAATGTCTATCCACCCTCTGATTCTACATCACTTACAACCTTAATCACATGCAGTCATTTTGGGGGAGCATTCTTCCTTTGCTGCACATTCTTTTACACCATTGTTTAATGACCAATTTAAGCAACCATATTCCTAATATTCGTAGCAAAACCATAATAAAGAACTCCTTAATATGCTACCGTATCCGGGCGCCTGGGTGGCTCAGTTGGTTGAGCGGCTGCCTTCGGCTCAGGTCATGATCCTGGAGTCCCGGGATCGAGTCCCATATTGGGCTCCTTGCTCGGCAGGGGGTCTGCTTCTTCCTCTGATCCTCCCCCCTCTCATGCTCTCTCTCTCTGTCTCATTCTCTCTCTCAAATAAATAAATAAAATCTTTAACAAAAAAAAAAAATATGCTACCGTATCCAATTGCCAAATGACAACAAATTAAGCTTTTTAACCCATTCAGTTAAACTTCCTTGAGAATTGTATTTCCATCTATAAGCCATGTTTTATTTTAAGATTTTATTTATTTATTTGAGAGAGGGAGAGTGCATGAGAGAAAGAACAAGCAGGGGGAGTGGCAGAGGCAGAGGTAGAAGCAAGCTCCCGGCCGAACAGGGAGCCTGACTAGGGGCTCGATCCCAGGACCCTGGGATCATGACCTGAGCCGAAGGCAGACACTTAACCAACTGAGCCACCCAGGTGCCCCTATAAGCCGTTTTTATAAGGTTCCAGGGGTATAAGCACGTATAGTACATTGTATATGCAATATCGAGCACAGGTATGATTGCCATAATATCAGAATTGAAAGCTGTCATAACTTTGGGAATATAATTTTTTTGTCCTCTTTTCAATTCCTGCTGAGTTATTTTAACTTTATTAGTCTTATCTACCATGTTTCTTTATTTAAGTTTCTGTTGTATGATTTAAATTGACTAAATTTATTTTAAGAGTTTCAATGTGAGATATTTCTCTGGTTATTTTACTTTTTTATTTTATTAAAGTTTTTATTTTAATTCCAGTTAGTTAACATACAGTGTTGTATTAATTTCAGATGTACAGTATGATGATTCAACAATTACATACATTACCCAGTGGTCATCACGACAAGTGTATTCCTTAACCCCATCACCTATTTATCCATTCCTCCCTCCACCCACCTCCCCTCTGGTAGCCATCAGTTTGTTCTTGATAGTTAAGGGTCTGTTTCCTGGTTTGTCTCTGTCTGTTTTTTTCCCCTTTGCCCATTTGTTTTGTTTCTTAAATTTCACATGACTGAAATCACATGGTAGTTGTCTTTCTCTGTCTTATTTTGCTTAGTATTATACTCTCTAGCTCCATCCAAGATTTCATTCTTTTTATGGCTGAATAATATTGTGTTGTATATATATACCATATCTTCTTTATCCATTCATCAAACGATGGACATTTGGGTTGCTTCCATAATTTGACTATTGTAAATAATGCTGCTATAAACATAGGAGTGCATGTATCCCTTTGAATTAGTGTTTTTGTATTTTTTGGGTAAATACCCAGTAGTGCAATTGCTGGGTCAGTAGGGCAGTTTTATTTTTAATTTTTGAGGAACCTTCATACTGTTTTCCACAGTGGCTACACAAGTTTGCATTCCCACCTATGGTACCCAAGGGTTCCTTTTTCTCCACATCCTCCCCAATACCTGTTATTTCTGGTGTTGTTGATTTTAGCCATTCTGATAGGTGTGAGGTGATATCTCACTGTACTTTTGATTTGCATTTCCCTAATGATGAGTGATGTTGAGCATCTTTTCATGTGCTTGTTGACTGTCTGTATGTCTTCTTTGGAAAAAAATGTCTGTTCACGTCCTCTGCCCATTTTTTAATTGGATTATTTGTTTTTTGGGGTGTTGAGTTGTATCAGTTCTTTATATATTTTGGATACTAACCCTTTATTGGATACATCATTTGCAAATATCTTCTTCCATTCCATAGGTTTTCTTTTAGTTTTGTTGATTGTCTCCTTCGCTGTAGAGAACCTTTTTATTTTGATGCAGTCCCAATAGTTGAGTTTCCCTTTTGTTTCCCTTGCCTCAAGAGACATACCTAGAAAAAAGGTGTTGTGGCTGATGTCAGAGATGTTACTGTCTATGTTCTCTTCTAGGATTTTTATGGTTTCAGGTCCCACATTTATGTATTTAATCCATTTTGAATTTATTTTTGTGTATGGTATAAGACAGTGGTCCAGTTTCGTTCTTTTGCATGTTGCTGTCCAATTTTCCCAACACCATTTCATGAAGAGATTGTCTTTTTCCCATTGTATGTTCTTGCTTACTTTGTCATAAATTAATTGACCATAAAAGTATGGGTTTATTTCTGGGTTTTCTATTCTGTTCCATTGATTTTGTGTCTGTTTTTGTGCCAGTACCATACTGTTTTGATGACTATAGCTTTGTAATATAATTTGAAATCGAATTGTGATGCCTCTAGCTTTGTTTTTTCTTTTTCTTCTTCTTTTTGTTTTTCCTTTTTTTTTTTTTAGAGAGGGAGGGGGAGGGGGAAAAGGAGGGGAGGGAGAGTGAGGCTCTTAAGCAGGTTCCATGCTCAGCAAGGAGCCCGAGGCAGGGCTCAATCTCACAACCCTGAAATCATGACCTGAGCCAAAATCAAGAGCCAAACACTTAACTGACTGAGCCACCCAGGTGCCCCAAGATTTTATATTTTTTTTTTCTCATTAGTCTCTACACCCAACATGGGGCTTGAACCCACACCCTGAGATCAAGAGTCATATGCTCTACTGACTAAAGCAGCCAGGCACCCCTTTGCTTTGCTTTTTTAAGATTGCTTTGGCTAGGGGTGCCTGGGTGACTCAGTTGGTTAAGTGTCTGCCTTCATCTCAGGTCATGATCTCCAGGTCCTGGGATCGAGCCATGCGTTGGGCTCCCTGCTCAGTGGGGAGCCTGCTTCTCCCTCTGCCTCTGCCTCTCCCCCCTGCTTGTGCTCTCTCTCTGTCTGTCAAATAAATAAATAAATAATCTTAAAAAAAAAGATTGCTTTGGCTATCAGAGTCTTTTGTGGTTCCATACAAATTTTAGGATTGTTTGTTATAGTTTTGTAAAAATTGCTGTTGGTATTTTGATAGGGATTGCATTAAATGTGTGGATTGCTTTGGGTAGTATAGACATTTTTTGTACTTTAATTTTTTTATTTAAATTCAATTAGTTAACATATAATGTATTATTAGTTTTAGAGGTAGAGTTCAGTGATTTATCAGTCTTATATACATCAGTATAGTGCTCATTATATCATGTGCCCTCCTTAACAAACATTAAAAAAAAAAGATTTTATT